GTTAATGTACGTATGTACAGTGGAACCTTGATAAAACGAAGGGCCAAGGGACTGACAGAATTTGTTCGCTATAACTAGGTTCTTTTTCATATATTTTACTATTACTGGGGTAAAGAAAATCGTTCGTTATATCACTGAGGACTTCGTTATATAGAGGTTCGTTATTTCGAGGTTTCACTGAATGTAAGTCCCTTTTCGTTGTCGTTTTTGCCTTCATGTTGTGTTGGGGGCCCACTTGGGTCATCACGATCTGGAAGTAACCAAAACATGGAACCCCTCTGTGGACCTGGTCCATACTACCCCCATGGACCACCCCTAATTTTTGAAGATGAAATTTTACCAGAGGTCTCTAAATGGACGAAACTTTGTCAATTTATATAATCAGGATTAAAGGCTTCTCATATTATAAACTTGCTAAATTTTTTTCCTGAATCCATACATGGGTTCGGTATGAACTGAAAGGAGTAACTATTTGAAGGGGACATGAGGAGGGGTAGGGAGGAAGTATTCACTTACGCAGCTTGTTTTTGTCGTCGAGCTGCGTGAAGATCGGCACATAAACGGCTGCGTAGGAGACTAGAGAGGAAGAGGTAATGCATGATGATTGAGTACCCACCCCAGACTTCTCTTCCCTTGATAACCCTTGAATGGAAATTTTTATTGGTTGGCAAACGTATTGAATCAAACACAAAATGACCTGCATCTTATCAAACAATGCGGTTGGTCAGACGTCTTACAAGTTTGAGTACACTTACAAGTTGGTTTATAAAAAATTGCCATTCATTCAGGTCGAGAATGTTGTCGTTACAAACTCATATAAGTTTCCTCCGTAGTCGCATACGCAGTCGTTTTTGTCTCGATTTTCACCCAACGCGAAGACAAAAAAAAGAGCTGCGTAGGAGACTACTTCCTCCCTACCACTGCTACTGTTCCTTCAAATATGGTTACTCCTTCACGAGACTAAAACGAACCCATTACATTGGTATGGAATTACAGAAAAAAAAATTTGAACACGAGTATAATATGAAGAGCCCATAACCCTGATAATAAAAACTGACCACCATTTAAAGTTCCTAAAATTTGTTTAGACCTCTGGAAAAAATTTATCTTCAAAAATTAGCGGTCATCCACAGGGGTAGTTCATGGACCGGGTTCACGAAGGGGTCCGTGGACTACGTCTACTGTATTTTGGCAATAAAATGCCTCGCAATGTTCAGTGAGTTTGCACATTTTCTTAAGTATTTTAAACACCATCAATGCCTTTATTTATGGAGGAATGAATCCTGCCTTTAGGAGAGAGATTCAAAGTTTACTCAGTTGTACGGTAAGGTGTACCGTTAACCCATTTTAGTCTTAACTGAAAAGTCACATGACAAGTTATTCCATACCGGAAAAGCTCATACAGTTGTACCAGATTTAATTCTTGGTAAACTAAGTACGATGTTTGTGCCACCATTCCTTGTAGTAAAAGCGTTGAGATGGGAAAAGGAGGCATTGAGATGGGCTGAATACACGCCAAAGTTAATCTTAAAACTAATTTGGTTGTATTCGAAATGCCACGTGACAAGTTATTCCATACCAGAAACGCTTCTACCAGTTTTAAGTCTTAGTAAAAGTACGATGTCTGTGACACCATTTCTTGTAGTAAACGCGTTGAGATTGGAAAAGGGGGCATTGAGATGGCCTAAATACAAGGTAAAGTTGACTGTACTTTAGTCTAAATTGAAATGTCACGTGACAAGTTATTACATACCAGAAAGTTTCATACCAGCTTTAAGTCTTAGTAAAAGGACGATGTTTGTGCCATCATTTCTCGTAGTAAAAGCGTTGAGATGGGAAAAAGGGGCATTGAGATGAGCTAAATATGTGGTAAATTTTAAATTAATCCCATTTCAGTCTTAATTGAAATGTCACGTGATACGTTAATCCATACCGGAAACTCTCATACATGCTTGAAGTGTTAATAAAGTACGATGTTTTTGTTACCATTTCTCGTACTAAACGTGTTGAGATGGATGTAAAGAGAATTGAGATGAGCTAAACGTGCGGTATAAATGATAAAATTTTAATAATGACATAGCATAATAACAATAATAATGTTACCATTTCTCGCTTAAATCGAATTGCCAGACAACTTAATCCGGTCAAATTGGCAGTGAATTGGCAGACAACTTCAGCTCGGTCTAATGACCTCACTTTCCGATCGTCTTGATAATCTTACCGAGACAGTTGCTGGCCTAAAAGCAAACTTAGATTCCTACCAAAGTCAAGCAAACGATCTGAAGAAGAGCGTCAAGTTCACTCTAGGTGAAGTGCAAGACCTTAAACCTGTCTTTCCGAAACTCGCCGAGGTCGAAAAAGAGATTTGTCTGGTTAAGAATTCTATCACTTTACATCAAAATAATTGGAGGCTCTGGAGAACCACAGCATGAGGAACAACATAAAGAGTGAACGGACTGAACGGTATACCGGAGACGGCTGAAGGAGGGAAGGACGTCAACAGTGAACTAGGTATTGATGCGGATATCGAGCGAACACATCCTGTGGAAAGAAAGCCAAGGCAACAACATGGAAATCAATCACATCCCACTGGCACTTGGCAAGTCTGTTACCCTGGAAGTCGCGGTTTCTCCCAGAACTAAGTTTCCCCGTGAAGGACGGAGTAATAGATGTGCAAAGGCTAAGCGCAAGGAGTTAGGGGCTGCAAGCGAGACGTTCTCAAGGATCATGCATGTCCTGATAGAATTTCATTTGCTTTTTTCTCAATTTCGACAGAGGATAGGGTCTGTTCACAGTATAACTGCACTCATTTTATTCCGCGATTCCCCACTCATAAGTCATTACTTCGTGCTGACAGTTTGCTCCATGCCTTGTTCTGAGGAGTTAACTTTCTGTAGTTAACACTACATTCACTTCAGTCAAGTTTGTTGGCTGAAAGGCGTTTTGCTATCTCCACAAGTGCTCTTGTCGGTCGCCCTGAAATGAAAATGTGATTCTTACTTTAACTACTATGGCTCGTTTTCAACATGATACATAATTTTACTTACTGTAATAATGGGCAACAAATAACCAAATGAGAATGCATAGACTAATACCAGTCGCTCGGGATTGTCGCGTGGGCCAGCATATAACATGCGAGCAAGCGAGGAGGATACGCGAGAGAGAATACGTTTACCTTGTTCGCCCGCCTGTGACAGTTACATGCCCGTCCGCGCGACAGTCCTGCAGGGCTACAGGAGTTTAACTGCATCCTTAAACATACTACTGTACTTCTAAGTTCTCGATATTTCTTAAGTCAACTGCAAGACTGACTTAAGCTTGTCTCCTGAGTCCAGACGGTCTCAGCTGAGGGGAAGAGCGAAAACAACAACAATAACGGTGAGGCCTCCCTTTTCTTCTTTCCCTTTGTTTCTGCCTTTACCGGTAGTTCGCGTTTTGTTTGCCGAGGGGCCTCAATGTCTCCCTTTGGATCAGCCAGTAAGGGCTTATTAACAATTAGTAAAATCCAACTAGTGGTCTATTATCAACGCTGCGTTCTGATTGGTTGAACTACCACTAGGCTATATGCTATAGCCCACTAGTAGCGAAAAGCGAAGGCCTCTTGGCGGCAAAAAAGGATTAACGTCCAGCTTTAACTAGCTAAAGTTGTTTTGTCTCTATATTTTTGACCAGCTAGTTGGATTTTACTAAAACAATTATTCCTCTCGCCCTCATGGCCTTTGAGTCAATATCCCATTCGGCCGACATTGACTCAGAGCCCATTCGGGCTCGCGGAATAATTGTTAAAGGGACTGGTTCACGATAATGCGCATTTGCGAGTTCTGACAGTAGCTGATTGTTTTTCAACCAATCGGAAGCGAGTTAGATGCACGCAAGTAAATTTACAAAATTCAAATTAATTGTTCGCGACGCGAGAGTATTTCCGGGCATTTGGTTTGATTTTATTTATCCCCATAATTCAAGTTTATTCTTTGCTACTCCTCAGATATATGTTGCAGCCGATAAGAATAAGATTTACAGCCCTGTCCTGCTTTGAAACAAACATTTACCAACGTGTATTTTTACGAGGTCGTACCCACGCTAACAAAACAGTCACCGATCGGCAAACAAAATTTGTAAACAAACATCTTATTACTGTTCTCTCAGTTCGCCTTATATAAACCCAGAAATACCTACAAATAGCGCCTGACCGGTGACAAAAACACACAACGTATGAGTATAAAGATTATCCTTAATTGAGCATAAATTTCAATTGCTTATCAGCAAATGAACAAATTCATTCGCGTTGCATCGGGTCAGTGTTCCGCAAAACAAATGTTATCGAGTAGCACACATAAAGAAACTAGATTATAAACAGAATATTCAGGCAATAATTTATTTTAAAAACATCAATTCTTAAACATATACGATCGTAAAGCAAAGATACAAGGAACATTTCAAGTGTACCAGATCGGTGAAGATCGCGCGGCCTGTTGCGGTATAACTACAGGTCGGAGTCAAAAATCAAATCAAAGTTGAACGAACTCATGCCTTTAACCACTTTCCAAGTGTCGTGTATTCTTTTCGTATGCCACACACTACTCCTAGAACCATACCAGATCGATAGGCTAAGCTTCTCTATCTCCAGAGACTCTTGAGAACGTCCTGTTGCCGGACGGCCACGATGCTCTTCTGAACCTCCATGATCAAAACATTATTTTTTGCGTCTTCTTAAAACGTAACCAGTCAAACGACACAACCACACGTTAATCACCACTACCGAAGTATAACTAGACCAGCCAAAGCGACGGATGTCCGAATAAAACGAAGGATTTTCAATGATTGTACCGGTGATGGCGATTTCGAATTTAGTGTTGACCCAACAAATTTATTCTGAAGAGACAAACGGCGCGCATGCGCATTATCGTGAACCAGTCCCTTTAAATATACCATGATAGCTAATCTAATCAGAGCTCTTGAATTGCATTATTCAATGATTCAGTTTTCAATAATAATCATTATTATATTCTCTTAGTACCTGACATTCCCTTGTTTAAATATGGAACAGCGTTTGCACTGTTATCCATCACACCAGCAATGTCAAAATGAGCCCAGTGTTTCACGTCCACAAATTCCTTCAATTACAAAAAGGGACATTTATTACACCACTGCAAACAAACAAACAAACTACTTACGTGAAAGGTTAACTCTCGCAGAGTCTCTTCTGTTTTTAATATGTGCTTTCGGTAATGTAAAAAAAAATACTACATTACAAGATAAATTTTCATCGGGTAAATTTCCTAAACGGGTAAGTAAAATCAACCTTACAATCCATGTAGTTATGAGGTTACTAAGAGCTGGTCACGCCAGTGACCACAATAATAAGCGGCTAGTTCAAAAAAATGGGAAAGTGCATTAAATCGGACAACGCCTTGGCTCTTCACCTTCTTAAGTGAAGAAGTCATGACCGAGCGCGTAAGTAGACCATGGAGCCCAGGTACTATCCCAATCTCGTTCCCAGGGTCACACCACTTCTCGGTCCCTAGAAGCCCTGGGGAAATGGTGGCATTAATTTATAATGAAGAGGACACTTTCTAGCCCCACCAGTGCTCGCTTACAGGAGGATCAACGGTGATTCAGTAGTTACTTGTCCTTAACTGCGGATCTTCGGTCATTGTAGTATTATAATTTTTCTACTGACTCCAACAAAGTTAGTTTTAATGAATTAGGCTGATTAAACAGCACGTTACCTTAAGAAAGGCAGCGGCGGTACACGCACCAGCCGATCTACTGAAACAAAGATGATAAATATGCATCATGAAGAAGATTAGTATGCACCTTCAATGGAGCTTACCGTTTTTGACACAGAGTAAAAGTGCCGGTATAAGGATTTCCTTCATAGACTGCAATACAGTATAAAATCCCTGCGCAGCGTAGTTACTTAATGTTCATTTGAAAATTGTAAAATCGAGATCTTATACCAACGTTTTGGCATTGCTGCCTTCTTCAGGGTACAAAACTATATACATTCATTGACACTTGTTCATCGCGATCATTCTTACTATTAAATGTACCGAGGAGCTGGGCGTCGGGGTAAAGGGGAATTAAGGAAAGGAAGCAGGTGCTATACAAGCTGCTGACGCAGTGTTTTTAAAATAAGCCGTCGGCTGTCGCATCCAACGGCAACGTTTGTATTTGCGAACCCTATTTTCATTGCAAGTGTTGGCAAACTTTCACAACTCAAAAGCAAGAAATACGTGTCTACAACTCTTACATCCAAAGTTGCAACTTCTACTCCCATCACCTTGGTGCATTTGAAAGTAAGTGCTTGATCATGACGATCCTACTGTACAATGGGGTCAATAAACAGTCTATTCCTTTCAAGAGGCAAGTTTCAAATGGACTAGGACACATTACATCAATGTTACTATTGACTTTACATCACCGCTTTACATCTCCCTTCCGCCCCTGAAACAAAAGGACACCTTTTATATTACATACATGTTCAATTTAAAATGGTAGTTGTTAGGCCAATGGGAAATTACTTGCACATGGTGCCTCCCAAAAAATTCACAATTCCGCCTGTACTATGATTCATTTCGATAATAATAATTACACATTCATGCACTCAGAAAAAGCATGTGATTGTCAAAACAAACTAACAGAGTTACCTAGGAAATAAACCAAGAAACTCTGTTAGTCTGTGGTGATCAACACACCAATATACAGGTTACCTGGCAAATCACAATCAAGTTTTTTTATGATTACAAATATAGATGCCACCTATCAACATTCTACCCCATTCCAGAATACAGGACGGTGGTTTACCATTTACAAAAAGTTTCCGGATAATCCGCTTGAAAAGTAAATAGTATATGACTTTTCGGGTCGTTTCGGCGGAGAAATTCCAGGAGCAACGCAACATCTACCAAGGTAGTCCTGTTTTCCCGGTCGGAATGTTCCAAACGAAAATTTGTGTTCCATTTCTTCAAACCGTCTCTGATACCAGTTCCAGCTTTTTGGTAGTAAAACTGATTAGTGCAAATGGTAAACGCGATTCCGGCACGAAATTTACCAGTCTTAAGTTTGCTTAGTATTTGCCCAAACCAAGAACCGACTGGTTTGCCAATGTAAATGGTATACAACCGACGCTTGTCTCATGAACCTACTCGGCCTTAAATCCCACAAGTCTCCTGTACAATATTGCCGCTCAATGGTAGAGCTCATGTCGGTCTCTGATGTATTTTATTTTGATTGTGACTAGAATGGATACCCCCAAAATCAGGTTGTTATCTTCACTTAAAATACATGATAGGAGTTCTAAGATAAGAAAGAAAATGCAAGAAAACAGTAGGTGGTATATGTAGGACTTGAACCCGCAACATTTGAAGTATAATCCACATCCGTATCCTCTAAACCATCAAGGGCTAACTGCCGACACCGGTTAATTTTAACGTATTTTACATGGCATTGATTTTTACATTATTGAAAGCCAACCGTTTTCAAAAGAGTGCTTAGCCCTAATCACTGTAATTCAGTCAGAGTGCTAAACCCTATATTCAACTCTTTTCCTTGCATAACTCTCTCTTACTCTGATTTCCCCACTTTTCTCAAAAAATGTGTCCAATAACTTGGCATAAATAGTTCCCTACGACGAGTATAGGTTTGTGTAATAAACATAAGGTGTCCAACCTGATTTAACTGTATACATAAGCACCCTTTTTTGCTGGTTGAGAAAACATGCGTATACAGCTTAAACTTACGTTTTTGGTACGAATTCTTAAATTTTATCACCAACGCAGAGTTGGAACAGATCAAACCATTTCAATGGAACACACAAACACACACAAAAACATTATCACTGAAAATACTGTTTTAAATGGGAATAATTTTGACACGAAATTGCCACCCCGGCATTGAAGCAATTACAAAAATACCCCAGCAATAGTTGCAGTGTTGCAGCAAGTGAATAATTACAATGTATATCATAATTATAAAGTTAACACACTTACAATGAAACTAAGTAAGTAAGCAGCTGCGATAGCAACAGCAACAAAAACAACAACCACAGTAATCTTTAGTATTTTGGTAAACAGGTTCAATAAAAGGACAGGACATTCTACCGATAGATGTCACATAAATCTGCATACATGTACATGCAGCAGGCCTCATTTCAGTATCAGCTCATACTTGAATGTCTAATCATGCACAAACCCAGCTGATAGCTACCATGGCTTGACAGGAAATGTTAAGACATGATAACTTCAACAGATCGGAACATTATAGTAATACTTCCAAAAAGTTCAAAAATATGAGCAGTAATATGAAAAGGGATGCTTTGAAAGTATCCTGTGTGGATCACCATGATTAATACATCTATATTTTTCTTATGACATGTTATTTTCTAAATNTCTTTAGTATTTTGGTAAAAAGGTTCAATAAAAGGACAGGACATTCTACCGGTAGATGTCACATAAATCTGCATACATGTACGTGCAGCTCATACTTGAATGTCTAATCATGTACAAACCCAGCTGATAGCTACCATGGCTTGACAGGAAATGTTAAGACATGATAACTTCAACAGATCGGAACATTATAGTAATACTTCCAAAAAGTTCAAAAATATGAGCAGTAATATGAAAAGGGATGCTTTGAAAGTATCCTGTGTGGATCACCATGATTAATACATCTATATTTTTCTTATGACATGTTATTTTCTAAATGAAGGCATCTACTTATAATCTATATCTTCTTGGAGCCCCATACAAGTTCTAAAAGGTTAAAAGTTAAGTAACTCCACTACACTCCAAACTATTTCCACTCTGTATCATGTACATGTACAATAAAATGTAAGTCTATTCCCTCTTTATTTTATTAAACCAATGAATGTAAATGGCAGACAAAATAAGCCACTTTGCAGTTGGTTTACTCATGTTATGTTCCTACGCATATGAATGGCAATGAAGCTTATACCAAAATAAAGTCACTGCCAGCCTCACTTCCACTAAAAGGTTTGGTTGCATAGTATACAATAGTAAATTGGTCCTTTGACAAAAATTATGGCCACTTCAATAAAGTCTAAAAAAATTAATATAATAATATGTGTAAATAATTTAAGTCAATAATTATTGGCTACATACATCTGTCTGATTTCGTTAAAACGTGGTCATTATGTCATAATAATAATAACTTTATTTCTATAGCGCTCTTATCCTATGTTCAAGGTGCTAGAAAGTATGGGGCTTGACGTCTTGGCCAGTACAGCTGGATAGCCCAGGGACTACCCTAACAGTGGGTGGGTGGATCAGGCCTTAGGGTCAAACCTAGTGGGGTAGGGAGGGGGCTGTTTTGACACAACCCCTTCAGTAAGCAACAGTGTTCAGTGCAGGCTTTGACTGGCGAGTACCTTGGTCTTAATTTGCCCTAGCCAGCTGAATCAGGCCTCTGCTGAGAATGATTATTATGATAATTGCAGAGCTCAGTGGGAGGTGCAGACAGTCAAAGTCTTGGTACAAAGGCCAAACTTAGCATAGGACCTTTAGACACTCACTGAAGCCATGTTTACATAAATTCAGTCAGACATACTCTGCCACTAATGATATGACCAAGACTTGTAACTAACTGATGTTTTAAATGCACTCTCTCTACAACTAACAGAAGTATTATACTGTACTTTTCCATCACCAGTATTGTGATAATACTAGCATTTATACAGAATGTCAGGTCCAAATAAAACCAGCCGGTTGTTTCCCATTCTCACTGCATGCTTGAAACAAACACCTGGTTACCGGTATATTTGAACACAATGTTATCATCATCATCATGCAGTTTGGACAAACAGTACATTGCATTTAATTTATTTACAACACAAAGTGACTAGCAATATTTTGTCTTTCCCCTGGTTGGGATTTTAGTTCATCCCAAGGTTAACCCATAGTGTTACAGTGTAAGTCTAACCAGCTCCAATTCATACACCTGGACTCAGTTGTTCAAAGGCTGATTAGTGTTAACCCAAGGGTAAATTTTAACCCGGGTTTCTTTTTCGTTTGTTCAAAAGCATTTTTCCGGATAATTTTGTTGATTCTTTTTACAGAGCATCAAATAAATCATCTAGCCTGAAATTCATCCGATTGCTTTGAGTTGTTTTCTCTCCCCTTACTGAGGGAGTAATAATGACTCGAAGTAATCGGATGAAATTCAGGCTACAAGACATCAAATTGTAGACAAAAAGAATAAAACTGAATTTGCCTTTTAAGCTTTCATATCTGAATTGAAATTTTGCACTACCCGTGGGTTGTCTTTATCTCAACCCTGCTTTGAACAACCCGGTCCGAGGTGGATTGAGAGTAAAGTGCCTTGTCCAAAAACACAACAAAGTTACCCCAGCCAGGGCGCAAACCCACTGTCATATTATTAGGCCACTCCACCTTCCGTGCGCACAAAAAAAACACATTAAGAGAGTTCAAAGGGACACAAACCAAATTATTGAAGCAAAAAAGCACTGCATCTAGGTTCACCTGTCCATACCTTTTCTTTCCAGTATTTCTCAGATCGGCCACATCTGATTCAATCTGCTCAGTGTAGTGTTGGTATAAAGGCATGCGCCACATTCTCTCTCCACAATGAAACCCGGCCTAGACAAAAAGTAAGAAGTCTTTGAACAAAACAAACCACTCGTTTCTGTTCCTCCTTTCTCTCCAATCTCTTGTCTCAACTGTAAACAGTCGCAACTACGTCATGAAACACCATAATAATACCTGGAAGACGTGATGCCACAAAGTAAGTGAATTGGTAAACACTCCTGTTGCTGCTTGTCCCAACGCAATATCCATTGCTCCTAAGGTGGTCAAATATTAAACATCAACGTCATAAAAAGTAGAATCAAGGACATGATCACCAGAGATTAATAATAGGCATTTTGCACTGTAAATATGGAAACCTTTCTTTTTGGAATACATTATTTTAGCACGAACTTAAAGAGCATATAAAAATTAGGTAAGCAGTAAATTTTCAGCTGTATATTTAAAAAGTAGTGACATGACATGGTTCTGAGGCAAAACAGAATGTGTGTGGACTATCACATGGCTTTGTGGCATTGGAGAAGCTGTCACATGGTTTTAACATGAAAATGGGGCAGAAAGCTTGCATAAGATCAACTGAAGGTTGCAATCCTTGAGTTTCATCCCAACAACAAAATTAGGTAGCAGTCTGTTGATTACAATCATTATAAAACTGAGACAAATAAACTGATTAAGAAATCTTTCTTAGAGAGCTGACAGTTACCTGTGAGGGTAGCAACATCAATAATAGCAAGGGGTTTCATGTTACTGGCATAACAGAGAGCATCAGCTAGAATCAGCCTCCCCTCGGCATCTGTGTTGTCAATCTAAAAAATTAATTAACCCTTTAAGTTCCAACAGTCACCAACATCAATTTTCTCCTAAAAATATCCATACGTTGTCAAGGGAAATGGTTATGAGAATTAAACCAATGATCACCAAAGAAAAAATGCTTTGATATTTTATTAAACTCTCTTAACTTATCTTAAAGGAAATACATGAATATCAGTATGGAGAATTTGTATGTGGATATTGGGGATTAAAGGGTTAAGATCTACCAATGTACAAATGGATATAGGGGACAAAGAAAAGAATCAAGAGGAAGGGAAAACAATACAATGGTTAAGTTTGCCATCAGATCATTTTAATTACAGGTATTATGGTAATCTTCCTTTGATGACAACACTGACAGTAACTGCTATCACAAGGATTGTGCACCTCATAAGCATTTAGTTTGAAACTTGATACATCAGGAAGTTGTAAATGGCCTAGTAGATTTTTTGGCCAAAAATTATGCACAACAAATTATTTTTCTCATAAGAACTTTCCACTCTTTTGAGAATATTGACGAAAAAATTGGAACAAGCTCAAAATGTAAACTACTCTTTCTTGCTAGCTTGTTCCCTCTCCACCCTGCACCAACGTGGCCCAGATTTGAATCCCGCAGACAATACCTCCAAGAAAAACATCATTATTTCCCAATCTTAATTTGATCCAAAATGTGAGATAAAAAAACACTTTGTGAAAGTGCTGAATTGTATTAATTTATTTTTTAATTATCCACTTTACAACTAACCTCAATTGTTTTTCCATTCATGGCAGTCACAACATCACCAGGCTTATTAGCACTTCCTGATGGCATATTTTCACAGAGTGGAGTAAGTGCAGTGACATTGATAGGCAGCTTAAGTCTTGCTATGGCTTCAAATGCAGCACTAACTGTTGCAGCTCCACCCATATCTGCTTTCATTAATCCCATACCAGCTGCAGGTTTGATGCTAATACCACCACTGGAAAATACAAACAATAATAATTATTTTAAAAAAATTAAATATCAGTTTTTGAACAAATACAATGTGTTTAGAAAGAAGAGAGACCATACTAGGCAACTTGGCAGCTGTGATTGCAACCCTAAAAAATTCAGTGATCCTGCAGGATCAATGCATTGCTCTAACCAACTGAGGCATCAAGCCGACTAAAGACCTCTCAAAACGTGTGTGCTGTAAATAATTTCCACAAAAAATTCTCTCATTTTCTTTATACATATTTTAATCAACAACTCATTGTATTCCTAATTTGACAAGGGAATTTCCATAATGGATTAGATGTGACTTGGATAAATTTACTGCAGTGCTTCAGCAAAAAGAAACTTCATTTATCCTTTTCTAATGAAAGCCAGCAACACAAATGTAAACATATGAAGGGAGTTATGCTGGTCAATTCAGGGTACCAGTATTGCAAGATTGAACATACCTATCAAATGTAACACCTGCAAACAGAAGAGAGGAGTAATCTAAGTAAATGTTATTAGTCCAAATGCACTTCATGTCTGGCCCCAAGAGAAACAGTGAGTGTTAATAATGCCGAAGGGAACATTACGGGTTAAGGAGAAACAACCTCTAGCACTGATTCCTATGGGATCAGACATTAAGGTTTTGTTATACCTCCCTACTTAAATCAAAATAAACATTGTAAATTAGTTTTTTTGCCATGACTTTGAAGACCATGAAGAAAAGGAGGGAATTTAAAGGGGCTAAGTCATGTCCCTTGAAATCTTTTTAAAAAGCTAAAACTTGTCTTCAATCGAATGAATTCCAGAAATAATGGTCCAGTCTTGTTATTTGAGACTATAAATATATTTTTTTTATTAGGCATTGAAACTGTTTCCTGTTGTTTGCTGCAACAGATGGCAAGGATGCAAATGGATCAAAATTTTATTCAAGTTTTAATGTTATGCCTGCAAAACACACCAAAAAAAGGGTGATGGTTATTGTTCCCTGATGACATTTGATACCTCCATCATAATGCTACAGGAGCATTTTGTGTATGGGGTAAAGGCATAACTAAGAATATTTCTTTAGCACAGAACTAACCAAAAACAGCAAAATCCTTGTGACATAGAGGCCTTCAAGAAATGCCTGAAATATAGTCCAGTTACCCATTTTCCTAATTTTGTGAAAAGCAAGGGATAACTAAAAGCATTAATTTTAAAACAAGCAGGGTTTCATGAGGTCTTACCTTTTCCTACAAAAACTAAAGGAGATGAATCCTTTGTCTTAGCACCAGAATACCTCATTTCCAAGAAAACACTGGGCTCAGTTGAGCCTTTACCAACACTGAGAAAAGCACCCATCTTGTTTTCCTCAGCCCAAGACTGGTCTCTTATAAAAAATAAGAAAAAAAGTACAAAATAATTAATCAGAGGCTGATGCTTGGGTTTGTAACTTTTAGGTCAGAGGTAATTTGATTGCAAAATATCTTGTTTCAAATCACCTGTGAGCATTTAATAGGGGAGGTGTGCTTTTTAATGTAAATATTATAAGCAGGAAAATTCATCAGGAAAAGAGAAAGAGAAAGATAGAGAGAAATATTGATGATGCAAATGGCCATACATACCTAGCATACACTTCTACATTCTCCAGATCAGAAATTTGTTGAGTAACCCTGTCAGCAAAAATCCTTGGCATCATCAGGTTTGACGGCATCTCCATAAGCTCCCTTGCAAAATTTTGTGCTCCAGAAAGCAATAAACCATCTTGAAAAAGCTGATGCCATTTGTGTAAACATGATTTTTCCTCTTTACTAAAAGACAGTATAAAGTGAAAGTAATCAAAAGTGATGTACTTAAGTTCAACTTAAATATTATTCTTTTAGTAGAATATATTTTAATAGAAACAGCTGCACAAAATTAGTGTAGTTTTTACCTGCGAAGTTCACTTTCTTTGATGTGCTCATGGAGTTGTAGATCCACCTTAAGTTTCTTTGAAGATTTTAAGTTATCATAGCTGAATAATGCAAGAGCTGCTCCCTCAGCTACCGCTACAAGCAAAAAAAGGCACATAGTGTTATTAACCTGTTGAGAATGATGCACATTCTTTGCTGTGGCAAAGACATGTTATATCAAACTTTTACGAGATGTAACTCAGAGAAATTTAGTTGACAAAAGTTAGCACATTTCTCTGAATCACAGGGTGTTAGGCATCAGAGATTGGAGAATTCTCTGTTTACTATGCAGAATTCCCCAGATGATTGTCGATAGCCTATGACTATTTTTTGCTCAGATGTGGAGCCTCTTTATAAGTATCCTCCTTCAACGTTACACCTTTCTCCTGCTACTAGAATCACTCAAACTTCATTAATGTGTTGAACTGACAAAATCACAACAAGCTGGAAGCAATACATGTAACTACTACATGCACATAAAAAGATCTGAATTCTTAACACAAGAATAATTTAAATACCACTTTCAAAAATTTAAAAATTCTGGAAAAAAAATTAGAACTTTTAATAATATTGCAAATTAGGACATCACATTTGATAGGGAGGGGTGGGGGGGGGGGGGTGGGGGTTGGGTTTGTGATGGGGGGCAAAGGGGGGAAAAATTGGGGGGGTTGGGGAAAAAGGGGGTACTACCCAAACGCCCCAGTTGATTTGCCCGCTCAAAGGTTTAAATTAAAATAAAAATTTAAAATAAACATTCCCATTTTTCCCAAGGGCCTTTTAAACATCCCAAAAATGGGGGGGGGGGAGTTGGTGGTTGGGTAGTGACTGGTAGTCATAGGGTGCAAAACTTGATGAGCTTGTGATAATATGGGTACTACCGCAACAGCTCAGTTGAATTGTCCTCTCTAAAGGTTATACTTAAATGACAAATTCAAAATAACAATTCCATCTTTGCCACAGGTCATTGTAACATACCCAAAAAGCACTCTTACATACAGCTATTTCGAGAAAGGTTGTCGCAAAAAGTGCATGCGACAATCCCGAAAGGTATTATGGATGATTTTGGGTTCACTCTTCTTCAAAGACAATGGCAAGAATGGCACGAGAGGCCATGGATGTATGTTTGCGAGTGTTAAAGGAAAGCAACTAAAGCAGGTTCGACAGCTACAGTGTCAGGAATAGTGTATTGATCATATCCCATACTACCTTTTCTGATTCTCGCGTGCACATTTTTTTCCGACAACCTTTCTCGACATAGCTGTATATATATAACTCTTACATGTGAATGTAGTTTAATTACTTGAATTTTACTTTCTTCATCTGTGTTAACATGAAGTTTCTTCCAATGATCTACAATTGCAAAAAAAAAAAATTGTTTTTTACTGTTTACCTTGAGGATTAGAACAGGTATCTACTTCTGCTATCTGAACTCCACAGTCCCTCAAAACCTTAACACCAACTGTAAGAGAGTTTCTCAAGTTAAAACACAATGTGCCAATTACTCAACATTGGTAAATGACCTTTTAGAAAAGAAGACGAAATTAAAAGTAAAACCTATATACAGAAAATTGAAAATAGCTCTGCTGATTTTTTAAATTTCTCTTGTTTTGAAGTCAGTATGACACAATCCTCAGTCTACAAATCTTAGGGTTTTACCATGTGTTCCTTCCCCACAATTGGTGGAATCATTTCTGAAAATGTTTGGTCATTTTATGATGCATAAATGGACCACTAAAAAAGTTTGCATCAAAATGGAGCGATAAGAAGATGAGCAAATTTAAAAATTTCTTCATACTTTTCTCTTTTCCTGGGCTTTTAAAAGGCATCATTTTCATGTCAAAATCTCTTCAAAAGTACCAAGGACTTTGAGTAGCTGGACTGAATCAAGCATACAAAATTTAGTTCTGAAGATGACCAACATAAAAACCGATGACATGACAAGGGCAGCAAGGAACATGGGATATAGCCTGGGAATACAGCCATCTCTCCTTGCTCCTTAGCTTCCTGCTATGGATATTTTGTCAAGGGGAACATCCATAAAACCAACGACTACCAGATTAATGATACAAAATATTGATTTACATCGTTGAATTCCTGTCACTGAGGCACAGATGTCTCTCCTGGCAAAATGTCCTTAGTGGTGAGGGGTGAGGAGAGAAGGCTGTACTTGAAGCCTACAGTTACAGGTGAATGAGGTGTGAATGGGTTTCAAGAGTATTTCCAACTTTACTGGTTAATGGAAATTAGAGGCAGCTTTATTATTTACCGTGCGTAAAAACTACAGTGCTTTACCTCCTGATGCTTGCCTAAGATTACCACTTTTCTGGTCTTCTTCATTCATCTCTGTGTCAGAGTCTACGTTCTTTTTACCAAGTCCAACAACCACAACACATGGATAGTCCTAATAATCATAGTAAAAATATAAAAGATGGAAGGCTATGACCACATCGATTTGTATTTAGAACAGATGAAGTAGTGAAGTACATGAATCATAGCAATGGAAACCTGAGTGACGAAATCAATACCACTTCCTGTTGCCATTAATCTACCTAACTACATCTTAAATTTGTTTCACAATTTTTCTACTGTTTCTGTTGCCCATGGCCAAATAACAGTATTTCACTAGATCCTGTGCTGGAATCTACCACTTCCCATTGCATTAAGTAAGACAGGGAAGCTACAGTATCTGAACAAATTGCTTTAATGATTACTTACACATATACATGTATGTTAAAAGAACTTTTACTACATTTTGAACATGATTGAAATTCCTAAGAGTTGGAAAAACAAGCAAATATTCCAGAAAAAAATTTCAAAAAAGTTATACAAACCTTATCAATGCCAAAGAATGCTTTGGATTTACCAATCTTTCCCTCAAATCCAGATCTTTAAGTAAAATCATGACCAAACAATAAATTCAATATTAAATTATGGTGTATGGTACGATTTCGTCACAGCCTCATACATTATGCAAGCCTCAATAATATGAATATAAATTGAGGCTACGAGAATAAAGTTACAGTAGAAATTTCTTCTTCAAAAATTTACTCCATGCTAGAAACTATTGTAGTCTACTGTGACATTTACACACCATCCATATAATTATCTTCAGTATTTTTGGCAAACACTGCTAATAGACCATCCCCTGGCCTGCGTAGCTGAGCAGGATTAGCAGCAAGTACTGTAGTTTTTTGGCGGTGGAGCCGCGTGAAGTTTGAGAGCAAGTCAAATTGAAATCCCGCCTGCCCTAATTCTTGGGTATTTTGAATAGTCCACCAACCAAGCATACAGGAGTTTCTGATAGTCTGAGAGATGGTAATATGTCAATCAAATGTTAATATAAATCTCTAGTCTCTCCCAAAGAAAAGTAAGTGTGTTCACGTGGAAATGAAATAATATTTAAGTAAGCAAACAGTCTCCTCTCCACCACAAGATCTGAGGTTGAACCAACTTCTTGAAAGACATTTTTTGTGGGAAATAGATCTCAAAACTAAGACACGTCTTCTGCTATCCAAAGGGCTGGAACTAACCTTCTTTTACAACAGGAAATTGGCTCTATAAAAAAAGTGCATCAGACAATCATTATTGCCTTTCGTCGCACAGTGCAAAGTCTCTGGTCGAGCTGAGCTCAACATCAAAAGAGCGCTTGATCATTGAAAACTGGCATCTTAGAAAAGCGGGTGGAGTATGCTGTGGAGGATGCTTCATTTTGACTGAGCAAATGTTATCTTTGCTGATTTAAAGGTCATGAGGCTGATTTGTTTCCTACCATGCATTGATTTCCTGTGGTTTTTGTCTCTGACAGAATTTGACCTCTGAAGTAGGTTAGGAAGCTAGCATTTACTAGCCCAGATGTCATTTCAACTAGCCCCAGATGCTTTTTGACGAGCAGAATTGATTTCATAGTTCTTCTGTTGTTCGACGGTCAAGTTAACAACAGAATTCACTAGCCCAATAGCAAAATCCACTAGCCCCCGGACTATCAGACATTACTTTCTTTGCACGCTGCCACTTTTATGTGAGGAACAATGATACAATGACAAAATCACTGTATTTAAATTCTACTGTGTGGCACCTCGCCACCCCATAATTCTAAATTTGTGTATTTTCTCTTCTTTCCTGAACTTGACCACAACAGGCCATGTGACACAATTATGTAGTTTCTCATGTGAAAGAAAAAGTAAGCCCACCAATTTTTTTCTCTCGTTGCCAGTTTTTGAAAGATTCTGGTAATGATTATAAAACAAGGACCATTTTAAGATTTTATGCAATTAGGCTCAAGCCACGCCTTTACATGCTTGAGATCATGATATCGTATCCCTTAAAAGCTAGAATTCATAGATATGACTGTTAATAAAATGAATACGATGAATTAGGTTTGATGAATTCACGAATTCTCTCCTTACAGTCTAATCATTTCTCTGAGCCTCCCAGATGTTCTTGCGTTGAACTTCTTCGTCGCGTCCGTAAATGCGTCTTCCGCAAGTCCTAATTCTCGACTTTCGTTTTCATACACGCCTAGAACAACGCCTCGATCGATAACAGCCTGAAAAGAATTGAACGAGAGAATTGTCAACAGAAAGGTAGCGTTTACTTACCTAATTATAATAGCGAACTCACCTTTGAACAGAACGCCTTAATTGCTGGAGAAATATAACGTGGCGAACGACCGAACTGAAAACACCTCAGCGCCATCTTTGCGTTCCACCACCTCTTCGTTCTCGTCCCAGACTCTACGCTTATCACGCCCAGCCGCTCTTCTCCCCGCAGGGGCTCCTCCCAATAAAAATAACGTTTTTTTTCTCAGCCTCGCTGTGGAGGAGAGAGATGGCGATGGGATAAGCAGCCGTTGTCCAAAGAGTCCAGAGGTTGCCTTAGTGGACTTTTGTGGTTGGAGAGAGAGGTTGTCGTTCGAACTGATTGGACTGGAGTGTTTTAAATTGTGATTAACCTATTGTAGTTCAAAACCTAAGTGAACAGTCTTGGAAACTAAATCGAGATTTCATCTGAAGAGGGGAGCATTAACAGGAAAAAGATCCAATTGAGGCAAAAGAAAAAGCAATAAACTAAAGAGATTTGCTCAGGGAGGATATCCTATGAACCTGTCCAGTAAAAATCCTTAAAAACTAGGTAAAATAGAGTAAACTGATCATAAGGAGAAAATGAGATAATAATTGAAGTGGGGAAAATGGCGAAAAACGGGAGTACTAATTTATTTCATTTTTTTCTGTCTCACTGTTCAATCGTCAAGGATGGCTTTGGTTTTATGTTAGTGCTTTAAAATTGTTCTTGCTACGAATTAATGCATTTATCAGCGGCCATCCCGGGGTAACCCTGGGGACAAACGCGGGCATGGGGCGGGATTTGTCAACTTTGTTCGATAATCTTAAGCCCGGGATGGGGGGATTGGATTGCTTTTGCACTTTCGTAGCAGGATCCGCCGGGGGAAAACCCGCGGGATTTGTAAATATCTATAAATATTTATAATATATAGCATTTCAAAATATATTCAAGGAATCCTAATTCAGTTCATTACCAGGAAACAGGAATATTATCTCCTTTCCCATTCCATGACGACAAGGTAAGCTGAACCTCATCATGTGTAGAAAACAAGTGGAATAGCTTTCTTTGCTTATTTTTAATTATCTCTTATATGTATAATTATAGCAAGTAGAAAATTAATTATGGCAAACTCCTGGCAAATAGAACTCTTTTGAAATATTGCACCTTTCGGACTTGGCAAAGCACACTTCTTTGCCCCCAGGGGAGGGGCGTTAGTAGCTTTTTGTTAAACAACCTTGGTTTTGGTTAGGGAGGATTTGTAAACGTGGTCGTGTAAATGACCGGGGGCTCCTCGGGGTCACCCCCCCCCCCGCCCCCGGGATGGCCGCTGATAGGTGCATTGGTTTCGGTCACCTGCCAAATTTTTAGCAGAGCGTCAAGGCGCTAATGACTAGACGTGTCACGCACTCAGGCTGGATCGTAGTTTGCAGATCCGTCCTTCAGTTTTCAATCATTTTCGCTGCATTTAATAGTACGTTATTCCCTTCCTTGATAATCTGTCTGCCCTCGGGTCGTTTTAGTATGACAACTTCCCGTCAGCAAAAGACGGAAGCCGCCAGATAAGACTCCGACATTAAATACATTAACTATACTATTTAGTGAAAAACATTTTTCCTTTAGTGACCGATTTTCCCACACTTGTAGCTTGAAATCAATACTGTGGTGGTTTATTTATCTGACATATGACACAAATTAACGTGGATGATAATCTGTGGCTTCCGAATAGAGCGGACACTGGCTAGAAAATCAGGCTCCATTTGACTTCCTTTGATTTCTATACATTGTTTCATTATTTCCGCCCTTTTCCTGCCATTTTCCTTCTAATTTTGTTACATGTCAGCCTCGGACACAACCTGCCCACTTGCGTAAATATGGCTGTATGAATTTTGTAAGACCGTTCAGTTTACACCAACCGTACCGTCAAACTTTCTCAAAGTTTATTTTATTGCACACTTTTTTAGATCAGCTAGTTTATAATTTGTTTTCAATGGAAGGTCAGCAACTCAAGCCAGAAAACGATTTCGGGGTATCGTTCAGTTTGGAGAGTTCGGAGGCAAAGAAGATCATTGCGAAAAATTCTCGCGAAGAAAAGCAATTAGAAAAGGTACGCAAGAGTTTAGAAAAACAACAGACGGCAGAGGAAAAGAAACGCTTGAAGGCCCAAAAACAAACTCTTATCAATTTTTTAAAGCTATGTGCACGTGGAAGAAATTCCTCCAGAAAAAACTGGTTTCAAGATCAAATGACAGCAAGCACGAGGATGTCTTCACAAGACCAGTTGTCTTCAAGATCAGCAGTGACTTGGGAACCGCAAAATTTGGAAGCCATTAGAAACAATTCAGCAAGGCACAAAGAAAGGCATTCTCGATCTCAGAAGTCTGCATGTTTCGATTACAGCCAGGATGAGTCTGTTTCTTTCTTTAGTTTTTCAGACATGAAAAGAATTCTTGTAATTAACGAAGAATATTTCATACGCGGGAGCCAAAGTTGGTGTAGCGAGACAGCCCAATACAAAGTCTGTTTGCCAAGCAGACTGGTAGGCAAAAACAGGATGAAACTAGGAAACCCTACCCAGAGGAATTTCATCCGCGAAGAGGTCCAAGTTAAAAGCGAGAGACAAGGGAAAGAAAAAAATTTGTGTGATGTTCTTCCTCCAGTTGTTTTGCCACCTTTGTATTCGCAGAAAAATAAAACTCTCAGAGAAAAACGACCTGCAACACTGAAAAGGAAGGACCAAGATGCGCTGTGGGAAGGATTGGAGGATTGCCGCTATATAAGAAGATATTTTAAGAAGAATTGAGTTCGAACAGCCTATAGTTTTAACCTTTTGTTTATAAGAGAAAGTTGTAAAATACTATAAAATATGGGAGACTAGAAAATGTTCTTTAAAGGTTCTTGTGTTTTTATACGCCAGAAGTCATACAGGAAATATATATATTTTTGTGAGAATGTCATTTTAAAATTTTGTCAAAAAGTTTAATGCATTTAAGTGCTTGAGTGATTAATAAACCCCCCAGGCAATTTCAGTAAAAGAAATTATATTTCGCGATTGTTTTTGCTAAATTTCGGGTCATACCACCATGTGGTTTTTTCTGGGTCAAACGCACTTCTTTGGGACACAATTGTGTTTTTGATAAGTCAGAGATAAACTTCAAACTGTCACTCTTATTAAGTTTATTGGAGGCTAATGTTATACTTAAAAGCTCTGTTCTACGATCGCAAATGTCGAGGATGCACAGTTACGTAAATGTTTTTCTGTCGTAGGACACAAGTTGATGCGGCGTGTAGGAGTTTCCGCTTTGCATTAATTGTTTTTGGTTCACCATCTGTGCATCTTTGTTTTGTTTTTCATCTCTGTTTATGGCACCCCCTTACTTTTACAATGACTTGTGTTATGGCCCTTCGCTAAGATGGTACGAGGAAGTTTCCCCCGGAAGATGTCTAGCCTGTGTGAACATTGTCGGCTTTTTATATTCCACCCCGGCATATCAAAACGTTAGCTATTGCAAACCGTGAGAGGGTCGGTCTTTGATCAGTGACTTTTAGTGCTTTGCGGATAAAATTGTACGAAGCAAGCGTTTCCAATCGAGTTATTGCACGAAAGTCTGGGAAGTTTTGCTCTCGTCCCAACTTTCTCGACAACCTCGCGCGGAAACGCATGCTACGCCGGGCGGATAAAGGTTGGTCGGTTGGGCGATGAAACGAGCGCGTCCGAGCAGAAAGGTGTGAGGTAGTGGATTGGGATCAAATTTTGAACTTACAGAGATTACGGACGGCAAGTTGGGATTATCAAGGGAATATCGGGAAATGAGATATGACTGAGTTTTCCAACTCTTCACGGAAGCGCGGAAAGAGCGCTCGTGCCAGTTTTATACTCCGCATCACACATCACTTGAAGAGCGGAGTGCTCGTTTCATCGCCCAACATTTATCTTCCCTGCTACGCAGGCTATCTTCAGCGAATCCTTTTAAACTTGAGTCTCTAGGAAGTTTTCTTTGGAAGCGTAGCCTCGTTCCCAGAGTGTCGTCTTTTCCTTTGGCAGAACTTGGGAGAGCGAACTAATCGAAGTGGAAACTGGAGTCTTTTTACTCGCGCTACATGTGAGCGACAATTCTGACGGACTACTACTGATTTTACTGCACCCTTTGTACGGCACCACAGTAGTACGGTTATATATGCTTTCTCGACCTCTCTTCGCCCTGTCTCCCCAGTAGAAGGATCATGTTTACAGGATACTCGGGTGAAGGGAGTGGAGCCAATTGGTCGCTTGTTAGATCACGTTTGCCAAACATTCTTCGCGCTTGCCTTTGCTAGCCTGAAAAACGCGCCTTCCCCACGCACGCTTCGTGCTTGGTTACCCCAAAAAACGCTAAAAAATATACCTGTAACTTTTCTATCCCGTGATCCTCTTACTGTAAATTACCTGACACAAAAAGATTGCATTGCTTATTACGCACGCACAATGCAGCGAAGTTTCATCGCTTATGAACACGCCCCACACATTCGCGCAACAACTGAAACCTTTTCTCCCCGCATACAACCGAACAGGGACGCACAGGGGTCTCTGGCACGGCTCACAGATCAAAAAGTAACCGATCACGAATCAAGGATATCAAACTTTCATTTCAGTTTTCGAGTCACATAATTAGCACGTAAAGTACCGTTTTTTTGTCTTGTTTTTACGCAAAGAAAAAAGTGGTAAAGGAGTGTCTGAAAAACAGCTTGAAATGGAAAAAAGAAAAAGCAAGACTGCAAATAGCAACTTACGAAAACTCAGCAGTGTCATTCGATGCTTTCATAGTAATTACTTATCTTCCGGAGGTCTCGAAACTGAAAATTAGGAGCCAAAATATGTAATAAACTCACGAATATCGACGATTTAATAATTCAAGTTTTTCTCGGGGCACGGACAACCATTTGGTCACGGAACACGAAGAATAATTTATTGAATTCAGGATTCAAGAAAAATAAAAACAGGTAATCACGCATAGGCGAAAATAACTCTGTACGACCCTCACTGAAGAGGAACCCCTTCTCACAGGAAACCCGACACAAGTCAAATAGCGTATTTGCTACTTCTTTAGCGTGTCTTGCAACTTAATCAGGAACAGAATCAGGATCAGAATCAGAAAATGACACAATCTCGTTCCCAGGTTCTCTCTCCTACTCTCTCGCTCCGTAAGGACAGGTAGGGGAGAACCCTGGGAACGAGGTTGGAAACGACACTGCAGAAACAATAGAGAATCCATCTAAAAATACTTCACGCCTTGCTCTTTATCGCCCTTTTTCAACTGACTCGAGAAAGAATTAATTTTCATCCAGTTGAGTCTATCTTACCTATGCCTCAATTTTTTAAGATGCAAAAGCTTTAAACTTTTTCTCAAGCATCAAAATATTAAAAGACTTCATACGGTCATTTTTTCTGCCTTAGTCAGCTGTCCTAACAAATTCTATCCTGGATTTTCCACTTCATTTTATAGCTGTTCTTGTGTTCTTGTTGTATTAATATGCAGAGGATAAGGGAGACAATGGAATGGTTTTAATTGTATGATAATCACAGCAGTCCCCCAGGGTGAATCTCATACGAGGAGTTGCCATCTTTTGTATTAAGTTTCACCAAACTTCCTCGGCTTGGGACATCAGTGCCCTGGGCCCATTCAAATAACAAGCTGTAAGAAAGACACGACCCAGTTGAGAGAATAACCTAAAAGTAGTCCAATTTTGGACAGATCCCGTGGAGGGGGACTCCCATATGAAATGGGTGGGGATGCTCACTGGAAATTTTGAATTACACCCCTAAAGGAGACCAATCTGGGCGTGGCCCAACGATTGCAGCTTAATATAATGGCGTTTTGCCCAGAAGAGCCTGAGTGAGACGACCAGCATCCCCACACCCCTTTCATGTGGGAGTACCCCTGCCCCCATCCCCCCCCCTCCCCTCCCGTGGGGGAAAGACTTGGCAGGACTGAAGAGAGGGAACGAGCTTTGAAGAGAACTGGAAAGAGGTCTTCTCCTCTGTTTGACTCATTCACCACATGTAACTTGTTCGTAGCAGTCTATCAAGAGTAGTAGCTTGTATCCTCAGTGGCAGATCCAGACCTTCAGATAAGGGGGGGGGGGGGGCTGGTCATCAAGACCCTAGGAAAAGGGGGGGCAGCCTCGCACAAAATTTTTTTGGCCCCCCCGTTTGGTTTAAAAATAAGGGGGGGCGGCCCCCCACCCGGGATCTGCCCCTGATCTTGTTTTGTTTCCAATAAAAAAGGTTGTTTACATGTATACGTCTCATTACCTTACTTTCTTAATTCCTCTCCAATATATTTTTAAAAATAACAAATGAAAAAATTGTAATAAAAACACCATAGTAAGAACCGCACAAAATTTGAGGGCGGGGGGGGAAAGGTCTTCAAAACCATGCGACAATGGGGAGCAGTATCGCAAAAAATTTTTTTGGCCCCTCAGTTTGGTCTAAAAATAAGGGGGGGCGGTCCCCTACCCTGGATCTGCCACTGATCTTGTCTTGTTTTCAATAATAAAGGTTGTTTACAATATCAGGGCAGAATAGGTCCATAGGTCTGCTTCTCAAAAACACTGGTAACTTTTTGGACTCCCAAAAAATGCTTGTCCATCAGTCTTTGAAACTGTTTCACTGTGTTTGTTCACTGTAGTGGAATGCAAGAAAGGTCCATAACCAATTTAAAGTATACTACACACTTACTTTGCCACATACTCCAGAGGTGTCCACTGAGTGAAATCAGCATTTGGCATCCCCTTCCTGTTCCCAGGGGTATCCAAAGTCATCCTATTAAAAGTAATTAGAGTAGCCACATTAATTTGCTTTCAGTATCAGTCAACTTAGCTCACTTGTGCCTTCAGTTCAGTAGCCTGTGTGGCAAGCTGATAAGAAGTCATATCGGGTGCAAGACAAGCGATGCACATGAGTAAGGAGAGCATACGTCAGGATGATAATGTTGCTGTTCCTATTTTACTCCATAAATTTCCCCAGCGCCTTCTATGCAGGGTATCAGTACAATGGAACACTGTCAATGTGACTACCACTGGGCCATGGAAACAAGGTCATATCAACAGGGTATATAGTACCATTCAAGGCCTTTGTAAAATGTAAGAAAAGTATAACTTACTATAGATTATCAACCTTTTCAAAATCACACATTTTACTCAAATGCTGAACAATACATATTAACTATTTGACCAGTTATCAATAAAGTGAGTTGTGGGTTTCTGGTTATTGATCAGTTCCCCTAAATTAACCATCAGGCATCAGCATTCAACTGACTGGTCATATTAAAGAGCTAAAAAAATCTAAAGAAGCTAATAACTATGGATTTCAAAAGGCAGGTGTTGGTTGTTTTAACTCTTAATGGTTGTCTCTTGGGACTTAAAGGTTAAAAAAAAGATGTAGAATTAGGAATGACTGATAGAACAGGTATTCATGCCACAAAAGAGATTTTAAAATAATAAGGCAGTTGTGTTTGTGGGGTGGAAGTATGGCAGGGCTTCACTGTAACAAGAAAAATATCATTTTTGTGGCATGTCTTGAACATCTTAAGACTCATGCCAAAGGGAACAACCAATACTGAGTGGTTCTAATGTAACTTACGGTAAAATGGCAAGAACAGAGGCACTTGGAGGAAGTCCTCCTTTCTCTTCAGCCAGTCCTTTTACCAACTGGTGAACTGCAGCCTTCGCCATTCCATAACCCAACATTCCTGAAATAATAAGAAAATAACTACCTTGTTGTTGCTTCTTTTAAAATAAAATTCTTTCATTTGTAAGCACACATTAGGCATACTAGCCCTACTGAAAAGTTACAACTTACAGATGTTTCCCACCAAAAAATCTGATGTCTCTACCCTTTCAAAAAATAGATTTCTATGTGTTACAGAACAACCCCACAGTAAGGTTATCACTAAGTGCTCAAAACAGAGGAGGCAAGCGTTACAAGCAGCAAGGTATGCACTGAACTGAACAGCTAATTGGGTCCTAGCTGGTAGCAGGCTGTCACAAGGAAAAAGCAAAAATCTTAACGAGGCAAAATGCAAGTGTCTCTTGATCTCGTTACTTACTGTGAGCTACAGCCCTGTACGGGTCTGTGACTCAACACTGTATAGTAAATAATTAACAAACTTCAAACATTCAAATAACTAGCTGCCATTAAGTTTTACAAAGGGTCTGCACAAGTTGATAAGTAACATTGGCTACAGTCAGATGGGAACCTCAAGCAAGTTTCTACTCTGGTCTGATATTGAGCAAATACTTAAGAGCCACACCTGGTGTACCGCTAAGAGAAGGCTGGGCTCCAGTCAGTGTAAGCAGTCCATTACTGAAAACATGAAGTACAGTAGGCAATAATTTAAGGGTCAAGAATTCACAGAAAGATTAAGCAATGAGTATCAACTTCCTAAGGTTGGACTGTGTCAACTTCGAATTTAAAAACCAATAATGGTAGATTCCCAACTTTTCAAACCACCTTGGGAAAAGTAAATTGGTTGGAATTATTGGGCAGCTAAAAAGGGAAGTTAGGTTTTAATGACCTAAATTAGCCAGTTCTTTCAAAACAACTGAGGGTTTTAGAAATTGATCAGGATTCTCTGGTATCATTCACTTACTCTTTTAAGTGTTTTGATGCAATGCTGGCAGCAATGAGTGATGTCCACACACTCTGCTTAAACATTAAGTCAGCATTCTTCACCACAGCTGATTGAAAAAAACATGTAGAAGAAAAGTACAAAGTAATAAACCCTTGTATTAAGCCATGATCATCGCCGAGTTTCTCCCTGTCATATCAACACTTTATAAAACAGATTGGCGATGGGAATTAATTTAAGGACATAATATCACACAAGATAAATTTAATTGATACTCCAACAACTTATTCTTACTACTTCAGGAAAAGTATACGAACAGAAAATGGGAATTTTAATAAATTTCGTCTAGGCTTAAACGTTAACCCCTAATGTCTGGTATCGATCTGCAAGGCTGTTTGTTTTGACAGCTGGTAAAACAAAAAGCCATGGGAAGTGTGTTTCACAAACACGTAACTATCTAAAATTCACTATGTTGGAGTATAATGACCAGTAATTAAAATAATATACCTCATAAGAAAATATGAAGACAAGCAATGTTTGTAAAAAATGTTGAGCACAAAAAAATAATAAAATAAAATAAAAATCATAATTAAATTCATTAGTACACATATTTTTTGTACCTTTACTTTTAGCACTTCCACCTGCCCAGCCTCCGGCAACACATATAATTGCATCAAGTTTGTTACCATCCAGAAGTGCCTCAACTTTAGGCTGGATCTAAAAAAAGCAGCTTGTTAATTATCACATTATTAGATTCTATAAGTTCTGTGAAATGTTAGTCTCCATTAGACCCACTCCAGTCAAACAATGCTCAGGGGGAGCGTTGTATGACTCAGACTCGAGTGGCTGTGATCATGTGATGGAGACTAACAAAATGCTACAGTTCAACACATGTGGCTAAATGTAATATTTTAGACAAAGTTAAACTCGAAGCAATGCTGGTCAGCAGTTTTTCCAGGTGTGCTAGGGGTGGCCCAATGCCCCTAGCAGGGTCACCTGGTGACTTGCATACGCAGTTGCTTGCTTGTGGTTCTTCGCAAAGTGTTGTCGGATAGCTTGTTGCTTATTTGCCATTTTGTGCTGTTTTTTATTATCCCTCCCTCCCTCTTTAGGTCAGGACCAAGTAAGCATTGGTTGGTAAGTATTCCGCTGAATTGTTCAGTGTGACACATGGTGCCTGGTGGGGGCCGCTTGCAGGGTTGCCATGGATACCTCCTCCTAATGCTAGAGCATTGCCCAGCTCCAACAACTTTGTAGGCATCAGCGCCCAAGCTCATCTATTGGTGATGAATTTAAATGCATCTATAGTAGATTATGTTTGGGAAGGCAACTGGCTGTTGCTTTTCGTGAAAGAAAAAAATTATCTGAGAGTTCTAAAAATAAAAATAGTGCATGAAGTCTTTGCTTTCTGGCTTTAAAATTTCCCTTTATTTTTCAAGGTGTCTACTTTCAATTAAAAACATCAATACTTAAAAATAACCCATTTTCAATAATGTTGTTAATTTGAAAAATAAATATTAAATATTATTTATTACCGGAATTTTCTTACCTCCTCATTTTGTTCAGTCCACGATTCAGTCTTGGTAACAACGAGATTTGCATGTGCATCTTCGTTAGGAAACAAGTCTATTGATGCTACCCACTATGAAAGTTGATGTGAATGAAATTAGTAAAAAGCTAGCCTCCGTACGTGGCAGGCACGCAAGCTAGTAAAAAGCTAGTACGCAGACAGAAAGTTTATACTGATACACCTCACGTTTGGGACGGTGAACTTTCTTAAATTTCACTTTGACGAAAAACGGATTAGTATTTTGCGAGAGATAGAATCTAAGGGTGAAGGCATAATAGGCATATGCTACGGTTCTAAATACAGAAGTCTGCTTAGGCCACAGAAACGTCTTACATCCCCGCGGAAGTTATTATAAGTTACTTACCCAGTTTTTGGACTTGAAATAAGATACACAGGTAGCTCCCAACGCGCCTTTTCCTCCGTAAATTAAAACCCTTGATGCGGACATCTTGAAATTCCACCACGTGAAGCTTTACTGTCACTACCCCTAGGACAAATATCTTCCATTTTTTACCCACTGGGGTAGCCATATATTCAAATCGAAGCATTTTTTTTAAAAAAAAAGAGAAGAATAATTTATAGTAAAAAGGAAATCAGTGTAGTTTTTAGTGTAGTTCTCAGTGTCATAGATCTCTTTCGCTGAAGATACAGAACTGTGGTGCACTCGAGAGGTACAGTTCTCCCCACTCCTCCCCCGTAAAGCGACATTCTTTCTCATTGACATTTGATTGATATGCAAATGAGTCTCTTCTGAGATTGTTCTACAATAGGTTCGTTCACAGAAGTCAATTTTGAAGATGTTTACAAGTTTTAGTCGTTGGGAATCACGTCGTATTTTGTCCGCAATGTTATAGCAAAAGTGATTTGAGAGTTTCCATTGATGCGTGTGCGAAGGTCGACTGTTTTTGGTTCATCTTATACTCAAAAACTTTTGACACTGGCGGCGCGCTATTATGAAAGCAGTCTTCAAACACCTCATCTTTGTGACGCTGTTTTTGCTGGGATCAAGAGTTAAGCGTTCCTTAACCTGCCCACCGAAATGTACCTGTGAAAAAGGAGATAATATTTTCAAAGTTAACTGTGACAACAAGGGAATGACGAGGCCAGTGAATGTTGATGATTTACCGGACAACAACACGCTACTGTTGTAAGTGATATCGTCGATCGAGAGCTGAGGCGTAGATTTACAATTTGACCTTGGCGTCCTCCTGTCTTGATTTTGCCTTACTCATTATATCACGATCAGTTCAAATGCTTTTAAAAGATTTTGGTTAAAAGCGGGCGATTTGCGCGTTGAAAAAAACTGTGCTAAGTGCTACCTGTTTTCGCGTTTTTTTATGCCGATAACCGAGTGATTGATCAAGTACTCATGTGTTCTTTTATTTTTTTGTGTCTATTGCAGGGATCTCTCCAATAATGAGATAGAATCAATCGGGGACTTTGCCTTCAAAGGCAAAAAAGCTGCAAGAATCAAAAAACTGTAAGATTAACCAGAAAAATGTGTGAAAAGCCAGTTCATTAGTCACCTTAGCTTATATTGAGATTGAAGCCATTGTTATGTGTTCCTTTATTCAGTATATTTCAGTGGTTTCCTCAAGAGTCCTCAAAACAGAAAGCAATATCACTTCAGCAATTTTAATTAAAAATTGTTAAGCGTCCACTTAACAAAATGTGCGCGTGAAAAATCCATTCCTTTTTTTTAGTAGAAAGGAATTTGATACTTGTCAACGCGTTAAAATACCTTCCAGTTCTGGTTCTTTAAACTAGAAAGGTACAAAACCACAACTCTTAAATTTTGTTGTTCTACAGTAAAGTAGTTTTGGAAACGTTTAAGCTTTTGTTTTTTTATTTCGATCCTGTTCTTACGTTCGTTTTTGCCTGTGAAATGAACTAGATTCAACCATCCATCAACTGGTTCTAATCGGCATGCACTCGAATAAAAGTCTTAATTTACCCACTTCAGCGTTTCCATTATTCTTTGCATTACTTGTTTACATTATTATTTGTAGTAGCTGCTGGTACCTGGAGATGACTATTATTCGGAAAATGTGATCTTGAAGTGATTTGTTTTCTTTTCAGTATTTTATCGGGCAATAGGCTGAAGGTGATTGCTCCAACTGCGTTTACCGGATTGAGTAAATTAACAAAGCTGTAAGTTGTTTTCCATTTTACTAATTATCTTTCTAGCAAAGCAAAGCAACGCTTGATTAAAACAGCTTTTTACGCAAAATATACAGTCATTAATTCTCATAGTTTATCGCCGCTTTCTGGATTGGTCAAGATCCTTTAATGAAATTGAAAACTCCCCATAACAGCCCAGCATCAAGATGATTTAAATTTTACTTTCATTCTTTCCCATTATTTTATTAAGCCTAGTTTGTTTTATCTAAGATTAAACCTGGGATTATTTTATTTTTATCCTGCCATTGTGTCAGATGTTATTTGGAGGGTCTCTAGATAACTTAAAACCAAAAAAGGGGGACGTTATATTGTCGTCATGAATTAAAGTTGGCACTGCTAGGCATGAAAGGTTTAGGGTAACCTGAGTATATGAAGATCTTTCATGTGAATTTTCCTGTAACTTCTTAGTGCAGTGCAATTTGGTGTTGGGGGTGGGAGGGGGGAGGGGTGGGGTCTCATTGGAATTCTTGGTGAGGGTGTACCACCTGGTTCTCCAAATCCTGACTGTATTTGAGACCAAAAAATGTCACTCCTCACAGCCATTTTCAGAACTGCCTCCAAATGCATACCCATTTTTATTTAGATCTGGCCTTAGTTGTCATTTCTTTGATTAGGACACAGAAAAATACCTGTCTTCAGACCGAAAAGGCAAATCCCCCATCCCCCGAGTACAATAATAGTTGCTGGCATGTCAAGGTAATAAGATTTTCTCAAGACAAAACATATCTAGATATTGTTGATGAAGGGGTAAGGGGCTTCCAAACTTTTCTCAAGATTTAAATTGTCTTCCTTATATTCATCTTTTCCAGCCTCCCCCCCCCCCCTACTTCACATGTTTTCTTACAAATAAGAGAAAAATCTGAACAAGCTCGAGATTTGCTAAGACAAGCAAAGGCAGTGTTTTGCAAGCTTCATACTTTAAAATAAAATGCTCTACTTGATCCTTTGCAATTTTAGTTGCAAACTTGGGTACGCCGGGAAGTACTCCCTATAACAGGGCTTCTGATATTTCGCGCGGTCGCGGACCCGCGAAATTCAGGTATTTCCGCGAAATCCCGCAAAATTCCCAAAGAAACGCGAAGTACCGCGAAATCCGCCAGAAATATTTCCAAATACATGTCGGCCAAACCTATTTAATACTTATCTTGGCTATTAGACCTGTTCTATTCACCCCAAATGTCCAATTTTATCTTGAAACTTCGTCACTGCAACGAGTAAACAACGTCCCAAAACTACCAGGCGTTCTTAGATGAAACGTCGCGAAAAACTGGGCACTAACCATAATGTTAACAGCTTTAACATTCGCTCATTTTTCGAGCGAACTGTTGTTGAAAGAGCAAATGATTATCCTTGTTAAAAAAACGTTAAACAATGCTGGTCATATCGACGCAAAAATGATCGATTTTAGCGAAATTTGCAAAAAACAATCCTGCGAAATCGGCTGTTTTTTACTGATTGTTTCTTGGCGAAGTTTCCCCCTGAAATTTCCCGTGAAATCGGCCGATTTTTCTAAGAATTTGCTCCCAAAATTCCTTTGAAATTTGACTTTTTTCCGCTAAAATCATGCAAAATCGACCGATTTTTCTGCGAATTTTGACTTTTCTCCCGCGAAATCGGCTGATTTTTCCGCGAATTTGCCCCTGAAAATCCCATGAAATTGTGCTTTTTTTTTCCGCGAAATATCAGAAGCCCTGCTATAATGACCTATCTGCCCAAAAGGGGTACTTTTTTCACGCTTCAGTTGAGGTATATGAAAGGGTAGCAAAATCTGTCATTTCGGTTATGAAAAGGCTATGTATAACAGATGCATTTGATGGCTGTGAAAAAGTTGAGAAAACATTCTAGTTTTGTGGTTTATTCTTATTGTTCTAAACAGAAGGAACATGAAGCGATACCTTTTCTCTAAAAAATATTATATTATTAATTTAATTTCATTAATATTATAATTATAAATGGGGAAGAGGAGGGACAGAACCTCCCCATATAACACTTCGTTGAGTATGCCTCCCCCCCCTCGGGCTTGTGGACCAAAAAAACCATGAAGGCTGGGTCCATTTAGAAGGGGGCAGTGACTCCCCCTGGACCCTCCCTGTGGATCTAGTGTTTTCTACTTACTTAGGTACCCAAATTTTCTTGTACAAAGAGAAAGATGGAGAATTGATTTTCTTTGCATCCTTGGGAAAGGATTTATTCTGTTTGGCTATGTTGGAGCATATTTTTGCTGTTTTCAAGAATTTTCCTCCATGTATTTTCTCATTTGCACCACTTTTTTGTTTATTTTTCAGTGATCTTAGTCAAAACAGGTTAACTTCTCTACCTGCAGATGTCTTTAAAAAGCTCAAAAATATTAAAAACTTGTAAGTAACATTATTTGTTTAGTTTGTATGTATTGTACACTATTCAGTCTACACATACTTGGAATAGGTGACAGAGGTGAATCTGTTTGATTTGTTTTTCCTTTTTAGAGATCTGTCAGAGAACAATATATTGATGCTGAATGAAACTCAATTTAATGGCCTCAAAAATCTGAGAATCATGTAAGTCATAGTGACGTTATAAAGACTGTGAATTGCAGGTGTATTTCTGAGTTCCTGATCCCTTTGGTCTCCAAAGTAAAAACTCTTTTCTGGGAATGTAACCCTTGTTTATCTATTAATTATTTTCAGTTCATGTGAATGAGAGATTGTTTGTTGTTTTATTTCTTTCATACAGAAATCTTTCCTCTAATAAACTGTCATTTCTTCCTGATGGACTATTTTACTCCCTCAAAAACTTGCAGAAAATGTAAGTATTCAATTTTAATTTAATACATAACATTTGAGAAATCCAGGCCAGGTGTTAATATACGGGGTGATAAATTTGTGAAATTGTTAATATTGCTTATAACTTATTTACAGTATTAAAACGATTGTTTTCACAATTTTTTTTTCTTGATCAACTCCCATTACTAATCTTCCTTTTATTAGCCTGCCAGTTCTGATCTCTTTAAAAGGACATTTTTTAACTTGTTTTTTTTTAGAGTGTCTCATGTTACCTTATTAATTATAGGTAATTTACACTCCATGAAATTAAGGTATTGGAAATTGATGTGACTTAAATTAATGCGAATTTAACGGAAAATGAAATTCGAATAAAGAAAATTAACCTGAATGTGATGGTAACATTTCAATATGAAGGAAATGATAAATGTAAGGTCCACAATGAACAAAACTTGTTGAAACAACAGAAGCAAAGTTAAACGTGTAATATGAATTAGAAACTTTTAACATGGTACTTTCCATAGACAAACAA